AGTCTGGCACAAGATCGGGAACGTTGGAATCGCTGTTTGACGCGTGTGCCTCTGAGACACAAATGGAGAAGCGGCCATTGAAGAAGAAGAAGAAGATGTAAAGAGGTGTAAATTTGGATTTAATTAATGTAATATGAACGTGATCATCGCGTGGTCTCACGCCGATGTTTTTCTGTCGCTTCCGATTTGTCCTCGAAAGGTCACATTTTTTGCAAGTGTTTGTAGTAGCATTGGAGCCAAGGTTGTAGCCTCTTGAGCAACAATCCATTACACCCGAAATCCACCTCAGTCGTACAACGTAGGTTGTTCATGCTTTCAATTTTTTAAGACAGATGGAACTTCCTTCGTTCCTGCGCGTTTTTCCCACACATTATTCTAGACTACATAGCAATACACTGAGGGATACGTATAGTACGTATCAGTAATAAGCGGGCCAGTAACAATAATTTCTCTTGCTCTGCCGTGCACCATGACGGATGTTTACACCTCCTCCACGGATTGTGAACATAGTTCTATTTGGTACAAAGGCCTGTCATTAGCCTGTACGCACTTCATTACGTTAGTACGTTAATCCTGATATCGTTTAAAATAATTTAGGACGAAATTAAGCCCATGGTAACTGATAATAAGTTGTTACTTCCTTTTCTGGTATACAAAATAATGCTTTAACTAAATAACATCCAATTTACTTCTCGTAGTTTTATTTGCACCGTCTGGCAGAGGCGTCACTGCGAACGGTCGCATACTGTAGCCGGATTCGTATTCTAATTAAAAGATGTAGTGAAATGACAGAAACGTGGAAGGCCATGAGAAACGTACCCAAATCTGCGTCGGTTTTATAGCCGGAAGACGGTGTGGAAATTGTCGGATGTTCTCGATCCTTCTCTCCACCTAAATCGGTGTTTACATGAAAGCCGCAATTACAACAGAAAACAGATGCGCACGATGTTCAACATTCCTCGAGGTCTTCCTTGGCCGTTCTGCAGAAAAGTCTCTCATGCGGTAGCGCATCACCGATTCCCCTAAAACCGTCACTCATTTTTGCATACGACCACATCAAATAAACATGCAAATGCTACCCTCTTTATCGTCTATCTGATGCAGCTGTTTGAATATCGTCTTATACCACTGACGTTGTGAATCTCTGGGACTCAGGGGCTGAAGTAGTCAGACCAGTTTAATGAGTAATCGTGAGCCGGTACGGCCAATGGATACCTGATCATTAGGACTGGCATAGGAACTGCTAGTCGTTCGGCTGTACGATTCTTGTCCATGATCTGAACGATGATCAGGCGCGTCCCCGTTAAATAGTAAAAGTTTCGATTCGCTCGCAGAACTAGTTATGTGAGGATACTCTAAAACATTTTGTAGGTATTTCATCATTGACAGTCACGTAATTGTTATAATAATTAAGTTAAAGTGAGCTGAATATTGTTGAGGAAATATTTGCCATAACTTAATTAAGCATGGGAGATAATGCTAGATTTGAAATCTAAGGCAAACGGAAAAGACACGTTGGAAATATCTTGGATGGTTGTTCCCTTTGCAGCAGAAGCAAGATAACAGATAAAAAAACGCACTTACATTTTTTACGGTTCGCAAGCAGATTAACTTAAGCTTATTCATCAATCATTATTTTAGTCCCATGCCTGGCTATGACGTTCGAGTCTTGCCGAACAGCTCTATCTATGGTTTCAGATGTAAAATAGAGTTTGATTTTTGTTCCCTGAACCTTGAGTTGAGAAGAAGTTGATTGGTGAGGAAACTACTACCGTCATGGTTATAAGATTTAATAAGCCATAAATGATTAGGTGTAATCTTGCATGATAATTTTAAACCAGACATGAGTTGTTCACCGAAGCAACGCTTCACTATCACTGTATAGCTATAACCGTGTCTCCCCATCTATGAACATAACAGTCAACAGCATAGTGAGGTGATCTTTGACCTCTCCACTCCTCATCCCAACCTATTTTAAAGACGAGCGTTCATTGCAGAATGCATTCAGCTGTCGAACCTTGCTTATTCAATAAACTCTACTTGTGATCCGTCATGGCCATGAGCTTACTGAAGCTCTTTAATAGCGAATGGCATATATGAATTTAACTGTCTGAAGTGGATTGCCGAGGCATAGCCGACGGCGCCACTGCGGTCTCAAACATAAAATCATGTGGTATACTACTTCTGAACTACTATCCTGAAGCTCCACCGCCGGCTAATCCATCCAAGGTACCAACCCGATATCTCTATCATTCAGAAAGTCTAATTTTTCGATTCGACGTTTTTTGTCTTCGCCCGCCATACGATAGGAGAAAACTTGCATGCACCGTGCGCAATAAAATATGGAATGCTTCCCCTCAAGATCTGAAGACGAGACCAGAAGAATAGCGCGTGGGTAATAAGAATGCCATCAGTTGAAATGAAGGTTTTTAACGTGCTAGCGAGAACAATGTGAGTGAACTGGTAATACGCCGTCCATAAACAGTTCAAAGCCGCAATCCATAAGTACACCGGTCGCTAACGATGTTGATTATAATTATGAGAAGGAGAATGACAAAAACGACGGCCATGATGATCAGTTCCATGACATATATCGGTCATCAGACTGCATGAATTTTAATTCTATTATTTAATGAGTTAACTGGCATTGATATTAACTATTAGGTTATCTTCTTAACGAATAAACTACAGCTCTAAACCAGAAATGATGAATGATGTATTGAGCACTAAAATATCGTGAAATCATGGTCAGTTTATGTAGCTACCAATGCATCTAGGAGTAAAACGATTATGCCGTATGCCGTC